TATGGTCTATTCATGGTTAAGTCTTATTACCAAAGTTAGCGAGAGAGGAGTCGAGCTTCCCACACCTATCTATTCGGGTCCCAAGGGCGTCTATGAAGGTTTGTCTCTTCATGTGGTTCGCTGCAAGGGGGAGTGATACTAACAGCAGAAAACCTGAGGGATAGGGATCACTTATATCAATTGGTTTACCATGTGCATATATTTGGGTGAAGACGTAGACTATCCTCCGTTAAACTGTCAGGTGGCTGCACATTTCTGGTGGGTGGTTCCAGATTGGTTTGGAGTACAGCGGGTGATGAGGGGAACAGTGAAGGAGGCATTACACAATGGAGCTTTTAGAAGGAGGAAAAGAAGACTGAAGGCATGGGATATTGCTCCATTAGCCCTCATGTAGGAAAGAGAGGATTAGGAGATCGTCCGAAGGGTTTGAAATTGATTTTGTAACATTGAAAATAGTCTCCTGTTCCTAGTATCTTTTAGCTGCACCCATGAAGTTCCTATCTGTGTAGAAGATGGAGTGTGTAGATTCTCTATTATTTGTGTACGGCTTGTATACAGAAATTCTCCATCATTAATAAAATTATTTACCCTGCAGAACAAACACCAATTGCAGGATTTGAGGTCCTTAAAGTCTGTCTTACAGCTAACAAAATACAACAAGTAGAAGTGGTAGATAGATAAATAAGTTGCTAATTTTGTACCATTGCAGTATTCTTGGAGGTTGGCAACAGCAACTTCCAGCCCTCTACTCGCAGTTGCATTACCAACAGCTGATGAGATAGTCATGCTTTGTCTTCCGATATCGTCCTCGGCAAATGATCCTGAAATAGTATGGATGTCAAAAGATAATCTTCATAAAAATCTTCGGAAAAAGAAGAAAATAAGTCCTAACATGAAAATCCCTTGAAAAATATTGTTGAACGTAACTGCAGCCAGAAAAAAAAATACTGTTATACTCCTGTATACCAACAAAGAGTTCAGTGTCCATTTGTTTTATCTAAATAGGAATAACACAGAAGTGAAGGATAAGATATCCTCCTCAAATGGAAACGAACATTGTGTAAAGTGCATGCAATCAGTATATTTAAGATATTAAAAACCTAGGTCTAAAGTAATACAAGCGATGAGGAGAATGAATAGTGATCAAGACAATTGGTCATTGACTGGGACATGCAAAATCCAACGGTCAAACCAAACCACTCTCAAATGCCCCTCCTAGCCCTCAAAAAAGAATTTAGAAAGGGCACAGGGCAGCAGGATATTCGCGTCAGCTATTCTGCTATGTCATTTGTCATACATATGATATGTTCCTAAGTAATAGAAAACATGTATAGAATGCGAGCCGCTACACATTTTATTGCACCGGCCAAAACATTTGAAGTTCATAAAGTTTCCTCCATGATTATGAGATTAAAATACAGAGATACTAGATGTTATGCCAATGCAAACCTCATGAGAAGACAATGTGTTAGCTTTGCTTAGTCAAGTAAGGAAAATATCTAAATCAGGGTCTAGACAGGAAAAGGAGGACCCAGCTCCAGGCTGCTCGGGGCATAGCTGAAACTAAAATAGGGAACTGAACAGGAAATAATGAGGAAGAAGACGAGATACATAGAGAATACAGAGATTAGGTTCAAGACACTGATATAACAACTCCACATCGGAAGCCTACGGTATAAACTGTATTATTAATAAAACTACAGATAAAAGCCAAATGACATATGATTATGATACAGAGGCTTAAAACTCAGAAGCAGCTGATTCTCTTAAGGATCATTTGAACAAGTTATACCAGGATTATAACGTTGGGGATTATAATAGGGGAATCATATAATAACGGGATTATTTAGAGGATATACCTTTTTCAATAGATGTTTGATTTCTTTGGATTAAAAAGGGATATACGGGATATGATATAAAACCTGTGTTTGGTTTTATAATAGATAAACTAGGATAAACTTCCATACCAATTTTAACCTTGGCCTTCTTAAAGGACTTTGGGAGAAGGGCACTTTTATCATTTGGTTGTTTTGCCCCGGGATTAGCTATCCCAGGATTGTTATCCTATATTGAATGTGGTATAAAAACAATACCCAAATTGTGGTATAACTAATCCCAAGATTGCTTATACCAGAAAAACAACATCCAACCAAACACGAGCTTAAATAATCCCACATTTTATCCCGGGATTATTCTTCTTTTATCCCATGATACAAATGACCCCTTACTTTATACATTGGCTACTAGGTAATAAATGTAAGGAGTTAGACTTTACAATTGACAGCTCAAATGATCACAGTAAAAGAATTTTTAGGTAAAAAAAAGCATGATTTTTACCACATAGAATATTAAGGAAGCATATGGATCTTACTTAATTTTTGAGCAATCGAAGCAGCTTCAGCAACACGACTATCATCAGAGAACAAAGGAGAAAGTTCCATCAGGTCTCCTGGACTGCTATTGAACTCCATCAAGTACTATGAAATGGAAAGCAACTTACACTGTTAGTTTCCAAATGAGGATAGAAACTAGAATAGCCCTACATGCAAGGATTATTTTGCCGAATGCACGAAGCTAGTCATGAAAAGTTTACCTTTATGAGCTCTATCGTCTGACTAGCAACTTCTCTCTGAGCATCTGCACTCTGGACACAAACAGAGATTCAGTAGATATCGGACATACTAACAGCATTAAACAGCTCAGGAAAAGAATAAACATGGACAAAATAATGGAGTTAGGTCTTAAGGAAAAATTTCTTTTTCTTTCTCCTCTTAAAAGTAGGCATTTCATAATTAGTAGAAGAAAAGCAAAGTAAAAGGGGAAGGATACTGTGGAATTTCTGGAAGCAAACAAACTTGCACGTGGCCATAACGAAACACTTCCACTTGATCAATTGTTTATAATATAAAACATCATACGAAATTAACCTTAATCAAGAATCAAAACAAGTGCTTACAAGACTTGCAAAAAGCAAAGAAATTAAGCTGCTATACCTGTAGATGATCTCCTATTTTGGCAGCTGTTTGACCCACACTAGATATACGCAAATCCAACCGTGCAAAGCTATCAAACAAGCCGTCCACACCTTTTTCCAGCTGCACATTGCATTGTTCATCAAACTTAAACTGAGGTCTTTATCTAGGTAAAAAGCATCTCTTTTTTTGAATATCCCTAGAAGTACAAAGTGAAGAAAGAGACAACAACAGACCAAGTGGATTGTTCTCATTTTCATAAAACAAATTTAAGAATTATATTGAAAACATTCACCACTCTGACTTAAAATGTTACCTCGGCAGCACTTTGTCATTTATTTGCTCTATCAAGAAACTTACTCCATTAAAGCAGCAGATTGCACTAAAATGAGCTAATCCCCAAACTATTTCCAGAAAAAAGATTTCCCTTAAAAGAACTATAACTTCATCTTATAATGACCACAGTCCAATGAACTAACCTCAAAAAGAGTCTTGCGGTGCGTTGTATCTTGGACAGCAACTTCCTTCTTAAGATTGTTAAGTTTCCCATCAATCTTTGATCAAATATGAAGGCATCAGAACAAAAACCTTCAGAAACAGTATTACCTCGCTGAATCCACATATAATCCTTTACTATACCTGTTTTCTGAGATCAACCAGTTGTTTACACGAATTCTTAAATAAAGATAATAAATCATCAACTTCAGGGAATAGCGGACTTGACATTCCTTGTGCTGACTTTCCCGCATCTGGTGGGGTCCACAAATTCCCATTTGGTAGAGCATCATGGCCTTCAGCTGCGTCCGATTCTTCTTCTTGATAAGAAGGTAATATCTCATTCACCAAGTTACCAAACAAGCCATCAAAGGAGAACTCCCCCTGCATTTAGTGGGTAAAACACGCTGCTGTCAGTTAACTACCAACTTTCTAAAGCTTAAGTTGGCATAATCTTCCATACACATTATATGACATCTGAGGCGTCACCTTGAAATCATCTATGTCAAGAACAAGCGGATCAGAGTCAGCAGATGCGGAACTTGAAAACCTGTCAGCCCTCACTCCATCTCTAGTCTCTCTCATCTATTCTGAGTCACAAGAAAATGGAACCAGAAATTATATCCGTCATCTTTGCTAAAAAACTGGATTATAATCATTTGATAAGCAGGATAACTGAGCTAAAAATTAGCATAAATTTGGTGGTGTACAACACAAGACTGTGATCAGTCCTCATTGGTTCCTTGCCAACAGCTATAGGATAGACAAGAAAGGAAGAAAAAGGTAGCAACAAAAAAGAGTGAAATTCTAAAAGTACAAAATTATGTTAAAAACCCTAAAAGCCACAAGACAAGCACTTTCATTCAAAATTCAAAGCTCGGATGAGATGTTAGTGTGTATTGGCCATTTCTAGTAACTATTGGATCTGCTCTAAACTAACCTTATACGGAGCAGGGACATATATCTGTTCCTTTTTTTCTTTCTTTTATCAGGTACGATGAGATTTCATTAACAATAATCAGTAGATGCTAACACCTACAAGTTGTAGGAAAAAGAAGTTAGCTCGTGAAAAAAAAATGATAAAGAAATGGACTTTAAGTCTAATTCAACCCAAAAGCTAGCTCATGAGGTGAGGATTGCCCCAGCTATATAAGGAGACCAAGTCCCGCATCCCCATACGATGTGGAAGACTCAACACCCCATGCACAATAAGGCAGAGCGTGGACTATATATGGGGGCCAACATCGGTGAAACAAAGAGTTGGGATGAAGTCTGGCTCTGATACCATGATAAAGAAATGGACCTTGGCCTAACTCAATACCAGAAGGTAGCTCGTGAAGTGAGGATTGACCAAGCCATAAGAAGAAAGTCCCCATCCCCATCCGATGTATCCCCTATAATTTCCAAGGGAAGGGACATATATCTTTTCTTACATCACTTATCACTTTCATCTCAATTCTGGCTTTTTCATTTAACATAACCAATGGTTTCTTTTCTACCTAAAAGCACTTATCCGGATATTAGGGATATCAATCCGATATGCCTGTTAAAGAAGCATCTAAACATCTATAGGGCTATTACTAAATACGTTATTAGAAATTCCAAGATTTATAAAAGGAAGACTTGATGCAACCCCTATCGACGATGAGATAGCATATATGTTCACAACAGCCAGATTAGTGGTGGACTTTGGAGAGGAATTATCGGAAAATTTGAGTTCCCTGTGTCCAATGATTCGATATCAGAAGCAAACCTTGATATGGCATGTCAGCTCGGTTGTCAAAGACTCTTTTAATGGACTCTTAAAATTTTCACCTTGAAACATCTCTCGCCGTGTGAAGTGAAGGAGCAAGGACAATCCCACATGTGATGAGCTCTCAACACCAAGATATATGACACGTTAAATTTGGAGATGCCATTGTGGTCAATGCTCAATACGGATGAAGGGATAAAATTAAATAGTTTGGTAACAAATAGGGACATCCCAATTATGCCCTACAACATATTCTTTTGTGCTTCAAGAATGATCTATGGTTGCACATAAGCAATTTGATGAACTGATGCTTGCAAATATCTTGCCATTTTTGCAAGTTGCTCGAAATGCATTCCGATGCCAGATGACTTAAGCAATAGAATTGAGTGGATATATCAGTTAATGGTTCGTTTGGAAATTTCACGGAGAAGATCTGATTCTTCTCCTTCTCTACTATGTTTCTGCCACAGAGTTGTAAACTTTCATCTTAGATGCCCATTACATGTTGGTATTAGAACATGTCGACCAAGGACAAAGAAAATGCTTTGAATCCCCTTCAGATATTATGGTCATTTTGGATGGAAGAAATAGGAATGATTTTGAAGGTATTGAGACTCTTATTTGGAGATCAAGGGTTACATTTTTTGTAATGTTGGAACATTGAGATGGCTAGTTCAGTAAGACCGTCTTTACCAGCACCACCTTGTTGTTTTTGATTTCCATACATCTATAGGAGTCGGTTTAAGGGACATACTTCCTTCCTTGCTGCCTAATTCAAATGCAATAAGGTCATTGTTCGCTCCCCTTTAAACCTTCTAAGGTGGTTGGGAGCTTATTATATTGGTTAATTTCAAGTTTCAGCAATATCTTTTCTCTTATATATTTCTACGAATCTCGCGGACCTATTTATCTTAGGGTCATAGAGCTTAATGTTTGGTGAAAAAATTGGAAACCCAAACTAGAACTTGCAATTTCAGTAGATAATGCAGCTAATTCATTCCTCTTTTAGAATATGATACGTTTCCAATAAACCGGAGAACACTAGAACCTGCACTTCAGTGGAAGCAGGTGAGATCTCATCTCATCACCTGGTTACAAAATATCAGAGCAATTATTAACAGGTGAAAAGCAGAGACAGAATCCAAGCGAAAACAACTCCAACTAGCACAGTGTTGTCAAAGGGGCCTGAAGCTTGGTGAAGCCCAGGCTATGCGCTTCGCATCGCTTTGTTGGCGCTTTACTGTAGGCTTAAGGTGCTAACGGATTTTGTCTTTAAGAGCACAACACTTGACAACAAATATAGTTGACGAAGTGATGCCTTATTGTTAAGAAAATGTCATGACGAAACTTTTAGTGATTAAGAACAAGATATTAGAAATTCAATTACTTCATTTTAACTGCACATATATAGTTCAATTACAGTTTTTACATTCTTTGTCCAACTATTTATTGTTTGTGTTTTCTTGTTGTTATATTCCTACTTTTATTTCTTCTCTATTGGCGCTTTTCTTCACTAAAGCCCGTGCTTTTATTGCGATATGCGCTTAAATCCCCAATAGAGTCTCCCGGAAACCGCCTCTTTACCCTTTCGTGTAGGGGTAAGGTCTGCGTACATCCTACCCTCCCCAGACCCCACTAGTGGGATTTTACTGGGTATGTTGTTGTTGTTGAACTAGCAGCAACATGTACATGCAAATATAGCAGCACAAATTAAAGAACACAAACTAGCAACATGTACATGCAAATATAGCAGCACAAATTAAAGAACACAAACTAGTCACGGAAACACAAGGTTATTCGGGACACACAACAAGTAATATCAAGATGTTTAATTTTTGTATAAAGCAAAATTAGAGACCCGACTTATCTAATCCAATTTCAACAAGGCGCTCTGTATAAAAAAACAGAACGAAATCCAGTTGAAAATAAAAGCAAGAAAACTTCTTCGAAAATAATTAGTTGCAATTCAAACATCAACTAATGAAACTGTAATTATATTTTAATTAATGACTAGGATGTGATGCTGAAAATTGCAGAAATTTAACAGTAAAGGAAGTGAAACAAAAATAAGAGCTGACCGCTAATACTGTCAATCTTAAACCTGCAAGGTATTTTCAATTTGTAAAAGTATGCAGGTTAATAAGCAAATGCATAGCAACTGAATTGAGCAACAAGTACAATTGACTAATTGAGTAGAGAAATGAACTCGCCTTTTTTTTCCTCAATAATGTAGAGAAGAATGAATGGGGCAGTTTGCAGGACCACTAGCTCAATTGGAGTCCGCTCTGTTTCCAGCTAATTGGCGATCTGTCGAAAATTTCAGGATTAACAAGAAGTACTAGGAGAAGAACACGGTTTTCGTTGGAGTAGAGAGAAGAAGATCTCAACGAAAGTAACAATGAGCTTTTCTTTACTGTATTTGTTTATATTTTCTCCGTTGTAAATGTAGACCGAGAAACTCAAGGCAGCAAGAAGAGTCAGGGAGCAAGGGACAATTCAAAGTTTACTTGTGGGCCTGTTGGGCCGGGTTGGCCTGTTTAACGTGTTCACTTTTTTGAAAAATTGGCATCCTATAACAACCCATAATAGGAATTGGCAACTTTTTAGCGCTATATTAGGTTTGACAATGATAGCCCCAAGCAATTGGCATTATACACCCAAATCCTTACAAAAACCTACCCTCTTTTATATTCTCTCAAAAAAAAAAAAAATACACGTTTATTTTAGCTTCCTCCCCCCTTTCTCTCCTTGTAATTCTTCTTCTATCTCTTCTATTTTGCTCTCATAGCTTAGGAAAAATTCTAGCAAATTATGCAAAAAAAAAAATCAATGGGATGAAAGGTAAGGTTGATCTCACATAAGAGAAAATCAGAAGCGAAAACAAAGAGAGAAAAATATAGTTCAACTTTGTTTGGATTGAATGAGTGGGTGTGATTGAAATTGGTTGAAAATACCAAAACGAGGCTATATACAAAATTTGATAAAGATTAGCAAAAACTAAGAGAGAAAAAATGTATTTCAACTTTGTTTTTATTCTCTCTTCCTTTTTTTTGGTTGGATTAAATGAGTGGGTGTGATTGATATTGGTTAAAAATAACTAAACTAGTCTATATACAAACCTTGAGCAAGAATGGAAGTGATTTAGACTGGTTTCCGGCAAAAAATCAGACCTAAAAATCCAACTGCGACATGTGTTTATCACGTTGTATATTGTGTACATCAGTGTATATCACACACAAGTTTTTAAGGACGTCTGTGTATATCACTTTGTATATCGGTATACAACACAATTTTTTTATGGACGCCTGTGTATATCACATTGTATATCGTATATACAACACAAATTTTCATGGATATAAATAGATACACATAATATACAAGAGATATCCCTGATGTACATAGAGATATACACGGGTTACAATAGGAGATACACATGTGGAGTCGTCTTAAACTTGAGTTTTCAATCTGAAATGTTAACATACAAAGAAGGAGAATAAATTTTAATAATTTTTTTGATATACACATTATTATTATGTTGTACATTGTGATATACAAATAATATAATTATTAATTATTAACCAAAAAGGAAAATAAATTTTTGATATAGCATGTTTAAGCAAGTTCTGAAATATAAAAAATAATAAATATAATTGTGGGAGTAAATAATATTTTAGTATACAAGAAAATTAATTTTTGATGTGCACGAAGAAGAAAATAAACTTATGATATCTATTTTGGTATACATATGTCCGATGTGCTACACACTGTGATATACAAATAATACAATATTTTTATTGTGATATATATTGAATAAAGGCAGCAATAACTATATATATAATTTTATATTATTGATATACAATGAATAATATTATTTATATACAAAGAATGAAAATAAAATTTTAATATACATGTTGGTATAGACAAAAAGGAAGGAAAAAGTTGTGATATACACATTATAATTGTGATATACATTTATTGGCCATTTGATGCCAGTATCTATAACTAGAGCTATTTTGTGTCAATTATATGAGTATCTTGTTATACCATGCCAAAACCCCGACTTTTTTTTCTTTTGAAATTTTTACAAACCATAATAGGAATTGGCAAATTTTTAGCGCTATATTAGGTTTGGCAAAGATAGCCCCAAGAAATTGGCATTGTATAGCCAAGTCCTAAAAAACCTACTCTCTTTTATATTCTCTCAAAAAAAAATATACGCTGATTTTAACTTCCTTCTCCCTTTCTCTCCTTGTATTTCTTCTTCTATCTCTTCTCTTTTGCTCTCATAGTTTAGCAAAAATTCTAGCAAACTGTGCAAAAAAAATCAGTGGGATGAAAGGTAAGGTTGATCTCACATCAGAGAAAATTAGAAGCAAAAACAAAAAGAGAAAAATATAGTTCAACTTTGTTTGGGTTGAATGAGTGGGTGTGATTGAAATTGGTTGAAAATACCTAAACGACGCTATATACAAAATTTGATCAAGATTAGCAAAAACTAAGAGAGAGAAAATGTATTTCAACTTTGTTTTTATTCTCTCTTCCTTTTTTGGTTGGATTGAATGAGTGGGTGTGATTGATATTGGTTGAAAATACCTAAACTAGTCTACATACAAATCTTGAGCAAGAATAGAAGTGATTTAGACTGGTTTCCGGCAAAAAATCAGACCTAAAAATCCAACTGCGACATGTGTATATCACGTTATATATTGTGTACATCGGTGTATATCACACACAAGTTTTTAAGGAAGTCTGTGTATATCACTTTGTATATCGGTATACAATACAATTTTTTTATGGACACCTGTGTATATCACATTGTATATCGTATATATAACATAAATTTTCATGGATATACACAGATACACATAATATACATGAGATATCCCTGATGTACATAGAGATATACACGGGTTACAATAGGAGATACACATGTGGAGTCGTCTTGAACTTGAGTTTTCAATCTGAAATGTGTTATACAAAGAAGGAGAATAAATTTTAATAATTTTTTTAATATACATATTATTATTATGTTGTACACTGTCATATACAAATAATATAATTATTAATTATTAATCAAAAAAGGAAAATAAATTTTTGATATAGCATGTTTAAGCAAGTTCTAAAATATAAAAATAATAAATATAATTGTGGGAGTAAATAATATTTTAGTATACAAGGAAATTTAATTTTTGATGTGCAACAAAGAAAGAAAAATAAACTTATGATATCTATTTTGGTATACATATGTCCGATATGCTATACATTGTGATATACAAATAATACAATATTTTTATTGTGATATATATTGATATAAAGGCAGCAATAACTATATAGATAATTTTATATTATTGATATACAATGAATAATATTATTTATATACAAAGAATGAAAATAAAATTTTAATACACATGGTTGTATAGACAAAGAAGAAGAAAAAAGTTGTGATATACACATTATAATTGTGATATACATTTATTGGCCATTTGATGCCAATATCTATAGCTAGAACTATTTTGTGCCAATTATATGAGTATGTTGTTATACCGTGCCAAAACCCCGACTTTTTTTCCTTTGAAATTTTTACAACCCATTATAGGAATTGGCAATTTTTTTAGCGCTATATTAGGTTTGGCAAAGATAGTCCCAAGCAATTGGCATTATATAGCCAAATCCTAAAAAACCTACTCTCTTTTATATTCTCTCAAAAAAAAAAAAAAACTACACGCTTATTTTGGCTTCCTCCCCCCTTTCTCTCCTTGTAATTCTTCTTCTATCTCTTCTCTTTTGCTCTCGTAGTTTAGCAAAAATTCTAGCAAATTATGCAAAAAAAAATCAGTGGGATGAAAGGTAAGGTTGATCTCACATCAGAGAAAATCAGACGCAAAAACAAAGAGAGAAAAATATAGTTCAACTTTGTTTGGATTGAATGAGTGGGTGTGATTGAAATTGGTTGAAAATACCTAAACGAGGCTATATACAAAATTTGATCAAGATTAGCAAAAACTAAGAGAGAAAAAATGTATTGCAACTTTGTTTTTATTCTCTCCTCCTTTTTTTGGTTGGATTGAATGAGTGGGTGTGATTGATATTGGTTGAAAATACCTAAACTAGTCTATATACAAATCTTGAGCAAGAATAAAAGTGACCAATTCATCCGAAGAAGGTCCAAATCAGGCCACTGTTGGGACCAATTTAACACCTAAAATGTGTCCAAACTTGCAGCCCATGAAGTCCAACATAAAGCCACGTTTTCATAGCATAAAAAGGACTTACTTGATATCCAAGAATGGTGCAATAGTTGTGCTAGATGTTGAGTGCAAGTTGGTTCCAAGTTACTTGCAAATTTCCTTCAAGAATTCCAAGATTTTCAAGATTCTATCCAAGATTGGTTTGGGATTGATTTTCACAGATTATGGGACTATATTTATTGATTTCCTAGTTAGTTAAGGTTAAGTTTTCCTTTTTATAACATTTTTGGAATTACTTTCCAAGAATGACTTGGTTTTTGCTTCCTAGTACTTTCCTTTTCCTAACGTAGTTGGACTTGTTTTCCAAAGTAGTGATGTGATTCTTCGAGTTAACAAAGAACCAACCGACCAGGTTCAAGATCTTTAAACGAAAACGTTGTTTGTGGACCGGTTTCAAGAAACAACGTATCTAAAAAACGAGATGAAAGGTGATGATCTGAACTATAAAAAAGACTATTTACTCGTTCAAAACAAGTAAATATTGATGATGTACCGTTCAAGGAAAGTTATGATCCTATGATAACAAAAAAAAACGAATTTAGATCAAGAAACGTATCTATGAATGATCAAGAACTATAAGATTCCTAAAGTCACCACTTGGAATCAATTAACGTGATAAAGAAACACCACACGCAATTGAGAATAAGATAAGACTATCACAACCTTGCTTGGAACCAAAAACAAGGATAAAGAAGACAAAATAGAGAAAAAGCAAAAGCAAGGATTCCCACTCTCTTAAGTTCTTCTTGATGAAACTTCTTAACAATGCACCTAAACTTCGATTGACTACCTTTGTTTGTCCATCCGTTTGAGGGTGATAAGATGAGCTATATTTCAACTTCGTACCAAGCTTAGCCCATAAAGTACGCCAAAAAGGACTGAGTAACTTAGTGTCGCGATCAGAAACATTGCTTCTTGGAATGCTGGGTAACTTGACAATATTCTTTAAAGAACAAAACAGCCACATGAGTTGCATCATTTTCTTGTTATGGGATAAATTGTGCCATCTTAGAGAATCTGTCAACAGCAACAAAGATAGCGTCCTTACCTCCTTGAGTCCTTGGCAATCCAATCAGAAGTCCATGCTAATATGTTTCCACGGTGTTGTAGGATTTGGCAAAGGCTCATATAATCCCTTATTGCTCCCATGCATTTTTGCTTTTCTACATGTTTCACAACGGTCAATCAGCCTCAACACATCTTTGTTCAA